CCAAGCTCTGCCCAGAAACACATGCAATAGCACCTGTGAGAGAGAAGTCCAGGTCTATGCGGGAATGCAACTCCTTCACTCCAAGTGGCAGTTATGGTGGATTATTCGCTCCTCCAGTTGTGTAGGGCGTCCACGCACCGTGATTCCATGAATTACCATCACCACCACATTGGCTTTAATCAACTGTATGCAAACCGATGCGATCGTTTGATTGTGTAATCACTTGAGATGTGTCAAGTAGATCGAAGTGTGCATTTATTAGCATCAGCATCTCTCATGCTACTGCCAGAGGTATTTGCTGAAGGAGACGTCAAATATGCAAACAGAAGTTTCACTACTGGAAGTGGTTTTCAGTTGCAATTGAAGCCAAGGAGGTGGTAATGACTGCATGACAAACAGTCGTTTGAAGGCAGGGAACATGCGTCCTACAGGAAAGCAGTGCTCCATGTAGACATCAAGGCAATGCTTCATGCGCCGAGGTGGATTCACTCAATTGGTCTTGTCCCTCACTTAATGTGCAGCAATCGTCACTCAATTGGAGTAATTCATTGCTACGACTCATGGACCCTTCCAGACGCCCTTCATTCGGGCACTAAATCAGTGTCAGTGCATGATCACAAGTCCTTAGAAGATGTTGAGTACAATGAGCAGGGTAATGAAATGACTAGCTACTCTGGGGTAGAACATTCAAATAGGACAAGCCTTTCAAATGCGGTCCTACGTGTTAGTGGTGATCCCGATGGTTATCTTCTCTAAACACATTGTGGGGCACATGTAGGTGGCATTATATGGGTTCGGTGCTGTATGGTACTGTTTTTTGTGTAAAATTCACTATACTCCCATCATTTCGCATCATTGTACCATGCAAATCAGTGAGATTAAACCACTGCCTCCTCCTCACACATCCATTTGCATAATTAACTGGTCGTTCATTCTAGCGTATTTCAATTCTAAACCACTTCAGCGAATCTGCGATTTAGGCAAATAATTTATGCAAAAGATTAAATAATCACCTCAACATTCATCGTGACATTGCATGCCTCCATGATCACCTCCTTTGAACATGGCAGTCGCCGTATCCACGCCTCTGCCAGCCGTTGCAACTTCCCCTCAGACGGACTCCAGCGCAGCCTCTCATCCTCAACCACATTAAGTAGGTAGGCTTTGAATCTAACATGCCAATTCTTAATGAGACTGTTTAAGGCGTGGGTGGGTTTTCCACCACCTGACGCAGAAGACGCGATAGTGCCGCCAGAGTAGTGCGTTGGATTTCCTGTGGCCTCTTCACCCTTGTTGTAGGTTTCTTCGAATCGGTGTGGGTGGAGGTAAATGCATCAGGAGCGAGGATTATGGAGTGGATGTAGTGGTAGAAGATATGAAGACCAATGAACTGAATCAGAGTAGGAAGGATATATAGCAACTGAGGAGGACATTTTGTCTGTCATTTCAAGCCCCATTCTAGTGGATTGCTAGATCTCTCCTGAGTTTATATTAGAGGTGCATTCCAACCTGTACACCTCTCATGGACATAACTCTGCAACCATGCTTGAACGCGATTTGGAATGAGCTCACAAGAGCTTTGATACCAATCAGTCTAGTTTCTGTCCCTGGACACTTCGAATAATGATGTGAGGGGCATCCGGTTTAGTGTGTTAGCGCACCGATTTTCATTCCTCTGACCACGCAGATGCAAGCAACTACTATTTCCAGCCATGGAAAATAGATGTTGCAATGAGGAAGGAGGGATGTTTGTGATGCAGCAGCAGGTTCATGTTAATCAACGCGCCCTCCTTCGGGTCTTAATTCTACTTAACAAATGGACACTTACCTGCCTGACCTATCACGCTGCCAACTTATGGCCATCAGACTAACATTTGCATACCCAATGCAGTCTAATACTCAACTGCCCCTTTACGACTGTTCTAACTCCCATCCGTAATTCGCAATGTGGCTTTCCGCATTCAATTGTCCTACATTTGCTTCCTATATTGAATCCAACCAACTTATTTTCTTTACC